TTTGGATTCTACCCAGATCTACTGAGTCAGCAGTTCTCCAGGTGGGCTCAGCAATCTGTGTTTTAACAGACTCTCCAGGGCATTCTGATGCCCAATCAAGTTTGAGAACCAGTGATCCAGCAGCAGTTTCTATGAAAGTCTCAGAGTGGTAAACCCTCTTAGTCTTTCACTCAAAATGTCTTATCTGACCTCTCTATTAAGTGATAAAGGAGCCCTGGTGGTACAGTGATTAAGCACTCAGCTGCTAACCCAAAGCTCGGCAGTTCAAACCCACCAGCCGCTCCTCAGGAGAAAGATAGACAGTCTGCTTCTGTAAAGATTACAGCCTTGGAAATCCAATGGGGCAGTTTTACTCTGTCCTGTAGGGTCGTTATGGGTCGGAATCTACTCGATAACAATGAGTTTGTTTTTTTGTTTTTATTAAGTAACAGTTTAGCTGATTATAGAATTCTCAGTTGAAAGTTCTTTTCCCTCAGTACTTCAGAGATATATTCTTGCATGTCTTCTGGCCTCTATAACTGATGATGAGAAGTTTACTGTCAGTCTAATTGTTGTTTCTTTGTGGGTAAATCTCTTTTTTCTCTGTGTCTTTGATGTTCTGCAATTTCACTGTCACATACCTAAGTGTGAATTTCTGTTTGTTTATTCTGCTTTGGGCTCATTGTGATCCTTCAGTAGAGGGATCATGTCTTTCTTCAGTTCTGGAAAGTTGTCAGTTGTTACTCCTTCACATATTGCGTCTTTCCTATTCTCTCTGATTATCTAGATCTGTAATTCCTATGCAGCCCTGGTAGCACAGTCGTTAAGAGCTTGGCTGATAACCAAAAGGTCGGCAGTTTGAATATTTGCTCACTTTCACATTCTGTCTTCCTTATCTCTTAACTTTTATACTTTCCACCTCTTTCTTATTGCTATATTGTGGGTTATTACACAGCTCTCAGTTAATTCTTTCTTAAGCTATTTATAATCTCTTTATCAGTTCATTGTGTTTATTACTTCAGTGACTATGTTTTATTACTCAGAGTTCCATTTGGTCTTTCTAAATTTGCTTGGTCTCTGTGATGATAATTATTCTGTCCTGTTCTTTCCCTTTTTTTTTTTTTTTTTAATTTTTTATTTCACCTCTTTAATCATTTTTTAAATACTTATTTTAATAGCCTGTATAGCCTCTTTCAGATTGTCCTATTATCTCTGGTTCTAGGGAACTTGTCATGTCTGTCAGCTCTCTTTAATGGTAGTTTATTGCCTAATCTGGTTTGTAATTTTCATACATGTATGAGCTCATCTTTATTTTTTACCTGTGGGGCTTTTATAAGTCCTGACCTGTATTTAATGTTCACTTCTCAGCTAGGGTTCAAGTCCCACAGTTAATATTACACCCAGTTTGGTGTGTGGATGTATTACAGCTCTGATTTCTTTTTGTTTTTCTCTCACTTATGGTCCTGGACAGAAGGTAAGCTTCCTTGCAACATTCCTGAGTCGGTAGGTAGAGCTTCTTGTCCCCTTTCAGATGTTAGGTATTAAGCAGGGGACTCTGTTCTGGCTCCAACATCATAGAGCCCATAGGCCAAGTTCTCTGTCCCCATGAGAGGATTAAAACCCAAGCCCGAGCACTGGATCTAAGTCCAGTGTCCTGCTTATTCCTCTAATGTTGAGTCCATCTGCTTATCTGGTACCTACAGTTTCTCTTTTTCTCCAGCTTTAAAAATCTTAGTTATAGGTTGCTCCATCATGTCTACATTTGTAGGGATAGGGGGCCCTTTCCATGGCAGCTCAGCAGAGCATTACTATAAGTCCAAATGCTCTTTATATAACAAACGTCATCCTTAAAAGCATTTATTAAGTGCTGTCCACACATGCTGCTCTAATGAGTACTATCTCCTGTTTGTGTAACACTTTGTACTTTTCCAAGAACTTTATAATCACCTGATTTAAACTCTCAGCAGTCACCTTAGGAAGGTAGGACAGATGCTATTATCCCCACTTTATCAGAAGCTCAGAAAAGCTCATTGTGTTGCCAAAAGCCCCAGCAAGCGTCAGAATAGGACTGGAGCCCCAGATGTGCTGGTGTCCCCGCTCTGCCCACGTGGGCAAGAGCCCTTCCCCCAGGAGCCTCAGTATCAGCTGACACTAATGACGTGAATCAACTTGCACAGTAAGTTAGGTTTTCGTTTTGTACCCCCCAAAAGGCACATTTAATACAGAGCAAAAGCACTTTAATCAACAGACATGTTTTGATTTTCCTAGTAGACTTATTTCACAAGTTCAGTCATACGTGAGAAAATAAGATGCCAGATTTTCAAGACAGAACAAGTAATGTGGCGCATCCAATACACAAAATATACTATACATGTCATTCATTCTCTGCTGAGCCTTCGCTTTGTAGATGTTTTTGTCCTTTAAGTTGTTGGAATCCTTTTAGGAGAAGCATATAAAAACTTACTTTGCTTATTCCATCATAAGAACTACCTCTAGGGAGAAAAGATAATAAGTACTGCAGGAAGATAATGATTTTTCAGCTTTTATACATCCTTCCCCAGAAGAAGGGAGGCTCAGAATATCTCAGCATCATGAGCTTTCCACCCACAGCTCGTCAGCAGCACCAGATTATCTTATCAGACGAGGGAATGGAGATCGAGGGCGGTGGGCAATATTCGAAAATGTTTTTGAGAATTTTGTCATTTAAGGCAATTGAACCTGCATATACAATGATGAATGTTTAAGCTTTTTTTTTCAACATTTTCAGGGGAAAAAAAAATAATTGCTGGGAATCACAGACTCTTAGAAATGAAAGAGCTGAAAAGTTCATCTAGTCAATTTCTTTTATTTCACTGTGAAGAAATTCCTCGTAGAGAGGTTCTGCAAGGAAATCCATTGCTATCAAGTCACTTCTGACTCATAGCGACCCTATAGGACAGAGCAGAACTGCCCTATAGGGTTTTCAAGGAGCACCTAGTGGATTCGAACTGCCAGCCTTTTTGGTTAGCATTCGTAGGTAGCACTTAACCACTGTGCCACCAGGGCTCCATGAACAGACCGTAGGCAGTATAAATTTTTTTTTAATGTTCTTAAGAAACTAAGATACATAAATGCAATGTTTTCATTGCTCGTTGATTACAAAGCAAAACACTGACAAGATTATTGTTTTCTATAAGATTGTTATTTGTTTTTGTTTGGGGTTAGTTATTTGTGTAGACGTGTATTAAAACAGTATGAAGGAGAGAAGCTGTTTTTCTTCATTTTGTCTCTTTCTTGTCAAGAATAAGCATAGTGAAGGTGTAAGGTTTGAATTCTGGAGATATGTTACTAAGATTCCATGCATTTTATTAACTTAGCCCAGAATCGTATCAGCAGAAGTATTCTCTGCTCAAATTCACACTATTCAAAAAAAAGCAGCGAGTTGTTTTGAGCATGAGATTGTCATGGTTATGTCCCTGTCTATGCAGAAAAGCTACTTTATAACATAGCAAGTTAAATGCCTGCATAAAAGTGTTACTACTTGGCCTGAAGCAATACCAGAACTTTTGAATATTAATAGTTCATTCAGTTACTGAAACCCACACCTGTGGTGTAAACACTTGACTTTATAGATAAGGCATTTGAGGTTTAAAGAAATTAAGTACCTTACCCCAGACCACTGAACAGTAAGGGACAAACCTTTGGACTCCTGAATTGAGGACTTTTCTAGAATGCCATCTACCTGATTTTATATTCTGTGACAAGACTATCAGTTCATTTGCCTTTCTGCTCATCCTGCTTTCCTTCAAAGATTTTTAAATCACTGTTAGACTTTGCAGAATGACCTGCGTGATCATTTTGCGTTGTGTGTTCAAGTATCGTAGCCAGTAACTCTTACTTAAATATCTCTTATCTAAACTACAGCCAAAAAAAAAGGTTATGCTCTGACTCATTTTCACACAAAATTCATGTGAAAAGCATATTAGTTTGTGTAGTATGTCCCTGAAAGTCTTTTTTTTTTTTTTTTAATTATTGTGGTTAATAAAGATAACCAAAAGGGGAAAATGCATTGTAGGTGTACAATTCAGTGATGTGACTTATATTCAGTGACTTATATTCACCATATTATGCAACCATCACCACTAGCAATTTCCAAATGATTTCATCACCCTGAATAGAAATTCAGTACCCCTTAAGCAGCAATTCCCCATTCCCTCTTACCCCTAGCCCCTGGTCCAAAAAACATTCTTTGCTATTGAGTTAATTCCGACTCATGACAACCCTATAGGACAGAGTTAGAACTGCTCCGTAGGGTTTCCAACGCTGTAAATCTTCACGGAAGCAGACCACCACATCTTTCTCCCACGGAGCAGCTGGTGGGTTAGAACCGCCAGCCTTTCAGTTAGCAGCCAAGCACTTAACCACTGCACCACCAGGGCTCCTCAGCCCCCGGTAACCACTAATAAACTCTTATCTCTATGCATTTGCCTATTCTACATAGTTCATGTAAATAGGATCATACAGTATTTGTCCTTCTATGTCTGACTTATTCAGCATAATGTTTTCAGGGTTCATCCATGTGGTAGCATGTATCAAATTTCATTGTCCTTTATGGCTAAATAATATTCCATTGTTTGTATATACCACGTTTTGTTTATCCATTCATCTGTTGATGGACACTTGGGTTACTTCCATCTTTTTGACTATTGTGGATAATGCTACAATGAACATTGGTATACAGGTATCTGTTTGTGTCCCTGCTTTTGAGCCCTTTGGGTGTATACCTAGGAGTGGATGACTGCTTTCTTGAATATCAGTATAATTGTTTTCAGGGGTAAAAGCCCCTTTCAGAGCTGACTAGCCCTACAGTTCTAGGACTTTCCCATGTGCCTATGTCGGCGTTATGTATATTTTCCACAGACAATATGGAGAGTGAGAATTTAAGGTTTATGATTCATAAAATTCTCTGAATGTTGGCTCAGTATACCTAAAATTTCAAGTGTGTTGTTTGCATTATCTATATTTATAAATTTATCTTCCAGGCTGTTCCTTACTCCAGAGAGTTTAAGCAGAAATATGACTACTTTAGGAAGAAATTAAAGAAACCCGTGAGTAATCATGTCTTCCGAAAATGCTGTGTTTTTGTCATTTGTTAAGTCCCCAAAGCTGCTTCAGTGAGAACAACTTGTTTGCCGCTTTTATATGTAAACTAAAAACATCACCTTTCCTTTTTTACTGCACTTTGATACACGGGGATCTTCAATCTGAATTTTCTTTTTAACAGAAATGGTACATGGAGATTAACCACTTCTGGTAATTTCTTATGTGATACATTAAAAAAAGAAAAAAGAAGTGATTTTTATGGGCTGTAAAACAATTCAGGCCCCTAGTCCCCCCCACCCCCCAAAAAAAAAATCTGGGGAAGCCTATTCAATTGTTCATGGTTATCATAATAAAGTAGTAATAAATAAGTAAAATAACCAACTAATAAAACCTAGACCCTAGTTAGAAAACTTCAAGCCCTTCCCTCTAAATTCAGAAGTATACTTTCAGTGATAATATTTGGCAGGATTAGGACCAAGTATGATTTTCTGATCAAAATTCTCACTGGCAGTTTAAACCTGAGAAACCCTAGCAGATTTTTACAGTGTCTTAAATTATAATGTTAACATTTCCTCTCACATGTCCCCTACCCCAGACTCTCCAACATTGTGTCTTTTCTGTTTTACTTTCTGACTTCACATCTGTATGTAGCTTGCCACTTTTCTCCTGTTTGCTCATTCAGTATTGGGGCACCAGCCGCCATTCCTTGGCTTCTACCCATTGGGGAAAGGAGAGTTCCAGCCACAGCTCAGAGCCTCCCAGCTTGCCTGTGTCTGTCACCATCTCTTCCTGTTCCACTCCCTCAATGCTTCGCAATAATGCCTCATTTTCTGAGCATCTGCAGTGGTCAGGGCACTAGGGGTGCAAAGATACGAGAGACACAGTCTCAAGATGCCCGCATTCTCTTAGGGGTTCCGCTCTCTGTTCCACACTCCTGATTCAAGTAGCTCTTCGTAACTACATGTGAAGTGACTCTTTGCCCTCCAAAGCTCAAATCTGAACAGATAAAATTCCGTAGTGTTTCTTTGTGAGACCTCTGTATTTCCACCAGTTAGAGGTGATATCGCCATTTCTCACCCTGGGACCTTCTAGTGTCTTCTGCCTGGAAACAAACTCAGCAAACCCATTCTTATTGCAAGGTTGATCCTGGATCTTGTTTTTCCAAGAGGCAGTTACTCACACCCTCAGTCAAGAGCATTTTATTTTCATGTTGGTTAACTATGGAATGTTTCCCCAAAACTTGCCATAATCAGAGTTCCATTCCCCAAGGCAATAAGATAAACTTGTAGGCACCGGGGTCATAACTACCAGCTCGAGTCCCTACCAGAGTTGAGAATGGCCCCAACCTGGCTGTTGTTAGGTGCCATCAAGTCGATTCTGACTCACAGTGACCCCATGTGACAGAGTAGAACTGCCCCATAGGGTGTTCTAGGCTGTAATCATTACAGGAGTAGATCGCCAAGTCTTTCTCCTGCGGAGCTGCTGGGTAGGTTCAAACCACCAGCCTTTCAGTTAGCAACCAAGCAATTAACCACTGAGCCACCAGGGCTCCTTCTCAACCTGGCTAGGTGGGGATTATTTATGGGTTTTAATTACTGGTGCTAACGTCTCCTCCCTTAGCTGACCAATATGTAGAACTGATGGTACTTCAGTTCAAGTGGCTAGATAAATGCCCCACAGTCGAGGACGATTTTCCTCTCCTCAGCCACCCTTTCTGTCGCACGTGGTGCCCACTCAGTCCAAACGACAGCTGGTTTGTTGTATCCCGTCTTGACATAGTGAGAAAAAACCCATCAAGGAGAGGATCTCAGTTGGGGCCATACACCACTGATTTTTTGTTTAAAGACTGCCATCATTTCTACCCTTTGTTGTTTGTTTCTATTAGGAAATAAGGTGTATAGTCACTCTATGATGATGTGGGATTTTGTTTGTTTTGTTTTGTTTCTTTCATGTAGGCTGATATTCCAAATAGATTTGAAATGAAACTTCACAGAAATAACATATTTGAAGAGTCTTATAGGAGAATCATGTCCGTGAAGAGACCAGATGTCCTAAAAGCTAGACTGTGGATTGAATTTGAATCAGAGAAAGGTCTGGACTACGGGGGCGTGGCTAGAGAATGGTTCTTCTTACTGTCCAAGGAGATGTTCAATCCCTACTATGGTCTCTTTGAGTACTCTGCAACGTAAGTATATGGAGTACATTCAGAAGGTGTTCCCCCACTGAAATAGTTGCATTCTTGATTGAAAGAATAAGCAGCTTACTCATTTGAGGTGAATTAATGCTACTAATTTTAAGGGGCCCTACCTGGCCCCTTAAAAGTCAAGAACGGGTTGTGACTACATGGTGGAATAATGTACTCCATGAACACCTAAAATTAATTCTTCTTTTATCTGTTGGGTTCATGTAATTGAAATTGAAAATGTGCCAGGAAATTATGGTAAGGAACAAGAGGCAATTTTCATTTGTAATGTGTTAACGCATGAGGAGAATTTGTCAGTGTCAGAATTCAGAAAGAGGAGTCATTTTGTGAACAAGAATAGTTTCTGAAGTCATAGTACTTAAATTATGAGGACTTCGGGGACCCTGCTTCAAAATACAACAGATCATACCCTGAACCTGCAAGGGAAGAACCAGGTTTGCCCTTGCTTAAGGATTCCATCATTGCCAGGCATAGAAACTGAGGCCAATTCAGTTATTCTCAGCAGACCAACATTGGCTATTTTCGAGGCTGATCACTTCCCCTCCAGGCTATGGAACTTCCAAAGGTTTAGGCTGGACCCGAGCCCCTAGGGGAATAGTCATTGACCTTACTGAAGGGCATTAACATCATTCTAACCCTGTGCTCTAAGGGGACAAGGGGCTGCTGTGTTTTCTGCCTGGTACCCATGTCCTGGGGGCTTATTTGGAAAGCAACCTCAGTGCCTCCTTCTCAGTTTCTCCAGCCAAGAATTGCCCAATATGTTTGTTGTTGTTATTGCTGAGGCCTATGAGAAAGCCCACCATGTAAAATTGATAAAACCGTTGAAGTGGATGGTGGAGAAGGGAGAGCCTCACCTTTCACCCACATCCCCAAAGACACCTCCTGGAGGACTCTGTCTTAGAGCCAATTTGAAAACCACTGATCCTCATGATTGTGAGATCAAAGATGGGCAAGCAGATACATTTAAACATTCTGAGGTTTGCATTGTTGAGACGACCTGTATCCTGCCACCATTTCCCTTGAGGCCCTTTCAGGACACTGTGTGATGGGTCACATAGACCATAGGTTGATCCCATAGAAAAACCTTATATCCCCAAACCAAGAGCATCTCAAAGGTGTCCTTCATCACATCATTGGGAATCCCTGTGTAGCCTCTTTATTAAATGGGATTTCTCCTCTTCTCAAGACATTTGATAGAACCGTATGAAACTGACATTTTTGTAGGTCAAAAATTGTCAAATATCAGCAGTTTGTTATGGTTTAAATTGATATATAGAGCATATGTATCAGATCGATTAGATCTCAGCCGTTGGTCATGGAAATGACTGATGAATGGTGAGTCATGTTCTCTAGCTTACACCTTTTCCATCAGGCACGGAATGTTTGCAAGTACACTATAAAAGCTGGGTGGCAGGTGGCAAAGAAAAATTCAAGTTTCCATTTCCTATTTAAAAGAGTTGATTGGGCTTGTCTTCTCTTTCTTCCTCCCCCAAAGGGACAACTACACACTTCAGATCAATCCCAATTCAGGCCTCTGTAATGAAGACCATTTGTCCTATTTCACTTTTATTGGAAGGGTTGCTGGTCTGGCAGTATTTCATGGGAAACTCTTAGATGGTAAGTTGTTACAGTGTCTCGAAGTATTAAAAATAGGACAGTGCTCTTTGTGGTTCCCTATTAGGTGGCTTATCTTTCACATCATAGATTTGCAGCAAAAGCTTCATTGGTTCTCTGTAATTCAATAAATTATTTTTATGTTTTGCCCCAGTGGAGATGGTTTTCTCTGGTATCATCTTAATTTGGGCACTGAAGACATGGTGTCTGCACACAGTTTAAAAAATTAAAACAAAAACCTTAAGTTTAAAGCACAGAATATTCTGTATTTATGCACTTTTTATGTTTTTCAGAATAACTTTCATTTTGTGACAGCTAGATCTGGTGACAGATGGAAGAGCTAATTGAAAAGTTAATTAAAATGATCTAATCCATCCAGTATCCTGCCATTGCTCCATTTGTCCCCAAATTATTTTACAATGGGAAGTGACTGTAAATAGTTTCAAAGCAATGTTATAACTCAGCTAAGACCTTATCCCCTGACTCACTGCTGAAACAGATGATACAAAATAATCTCACTCTTATTTAGAGCACACAAATCACAGAAGAATTGGAAGGTGCCTTGGAAAGTAGAAGTCAAACCCACTACTTGGCTGTATTTGTGGGTTTATCATAAAGACTTCTTATGCATTTGGTCTTTGCGAAAGTAATGCCCTTAAGAGAACACTACAGAAATCATTAGTGAGAAAAGAGAATCAGGTATTTTTGAAGAATTTGGGGGTGAAGTGATTGAGAATGGAAGATAGAGTATAAGATTTGAGGTTGGCATTGTAGTCACTGTGGAGAGAGATTTCCAGGGGAATTGTAATTGTGTTCACTGCATTTATGGAGCCTTGGCTATTCCAATGAATAATTGATGTACCCTCTGTGCTTTTTCCTTGAATATATTTCTGCTGTTAATTGCTAGCTGATTCTGATCCTCTGGTTTCAATATTTTCTTTTTAGTGGGGGAAGTAAACACTCTTTCTGATTAGAAGGAAACTACATTTGATAGGTAGGTAGATAAGGAAAGGAGGAAGGTGAGGGAAGGAAGGAAGAAAGGAAGGAAACATTTTAATTTGCAATATTGAAGTCACCCACTAAATTATTTCAGACTGTTCAAATTCACTTCAACCTTTTTAGAAGCAGGTCAGTGTAGTCACCTTCTAGGAAATGAGAAGACAGTGTTAGTTGCTGCAAGAGAATATGGAGAAGTATAAGATATGGTCCTGACCTCAGTGAACTTATATTCTTCTAGTGGGGAAAAAAAAAGAATCACAATTGCAGAGTCCAAGCAGAAGGCAGCACATGAGTACTCAGAGGAAAAGCTGATCTGAGTAGAGGACTGGGGATGGCTTGCTTTGTGAGGATCAACCACACTTTGAGGGAGGCAGGACTTGAACACTCAGAGTCTGGAGTTGTTTCAGGAGAGAGAGGACTGGCCCCAAGTCAAGGCTTTGTGGTGGGAGTGATGGATGGAACAGACTGAATGGGGAAGCCAAGGGGGCTGCTGAAGTGGTCCAGGCAAAAGAAGATAATGGTGCAGGTCAGGAATTGCTCCATTAAAGACCAAGGTGCCCAGAGATGTGTGTGGTCAGCATTGTGTTACATTTTAAAAAACATGGCTGCCCGTTTAGTCAGGGCATGCACAGTGCACACATCTGCTCATACATCTGTTGTCAGCTTCATTCTTTTTACCTCCCTAGACCCTGAAGGTGTTTGAGTCGGTCCATACTAAGCCAGTGGGAGTCAGGAAATGCTGCAAAGGGTTGGTGACTGATTAGATATGGGGCTGGGGTGAGGGTGAACAGTAAGTGAGCCTGAAGCCTTAGGCCTGGCTGTACTAATGCCTCATGGGAGGAGGAACGTGATGTTTTGCCTTTGGGCAGGGGAATTGGCCATCCCTGTGAGGTGATAGATTCATCCTCACTGCCATTGCCTGCCCCCTCTCTCACCTGGAAGATTGTACAGTCTTCTAGATCATTGCCATTGTGCCCCCTTCCTGTCCTTTCTCCCCATTACTGCCCAAGCGGTAATACTAAGATGCTTTTCAATGACTCCTCACTGCCTCCAGGGAAAAGTCCAAACTCTCTGGGGCCACACACAAGCTGTGCTGGCCCCAGTCTGTTCTCTGGCCTCTCCTTCCCCAGACACTCATGCTTCCACCCTGTCAAACCACGGGCCAGTCCATGGTCTTGTTCATCTGCCCAGAATGCCCTTTTCTCCCCCAGTTCACGTGACTTTTGCATAGCGAACACCAGCTCAGCATTGAAACTCATTGTCGCCTCCTCATTTGACCCCTTCCTGCTATACTCACCTCTGTTAGCACCACTGCCCTCCTTACTACCTCACCCTTGACCAGGCCTTGTCCACATGCTCATCGATTATGATGGGAAGTCCTTGATTGCTCTGTCCAGGGCTCTCATTCAGGTTAAAGAAGGGTTGCTTTTTTATCTCGTGCTCTGATGCCCAGCAGTGTCAAAGATTTGAAACTTAAACCCAGTTTTCATCCTATTTTAGGTTTCTTCATTAGGCCATTTTACAAAATGATGCTGGGAAAGCAGATAACGCTGAATGACATGGAATCCGTGGTGAGTATTACAGATCCTGACACTGAACATCATGGGCTTTAGCACCTTTGGAAAGATGTCTGAGACCACATTTGCAGTCCCGGTGATTTTATGGGTGTGTGCCATTCAGTACAATGCAACAGGGAATGCTTGCTTTGAGAAGTTGATTATCACCCTGATTTTTGTAGTAAGCAAGTCATTGTCCACATTTTGTAGAATCGTGGTATTTGAGGCAGGTACACACAATCACAATTATCGCTGCTTACCCAGGAATCGGACTTGTTTGAACAAATTAAATCCAAGGGAAATCTGGAGACATCATTGTAGCCAGTGTGTCCATCCAAAACAGCTAATACTGAATGGCTAGAAATTCATCCACTCCCCCTCTGTTTTCTGACCTCATAAACATGGCAGGGGGCGAAAGGCCAGAACAGCAGCCAGGGGGAAGGATAATGACACAGGCATCCTAGACACTGACAAGAGAGTGACCACAATATTGTAGGAAGAAAACGAGTTAAAAAATGAATGCTGTGAGAAGTTCCCTGAAAAGTGGAAAAGTGATTTGGATTTTCATGTTGCAATTATTCATTTTACCTAGACAGACATTTTAGAAGTAAAACAATTTTCTATAAAGACAAAAATTGAAGCTTCTTTTCATAATGTAGTTTTTGCTTGTTTTTCTTTTAATTCACTTGCACCCCCATCTCGGTGCGCTGACACACAGGGCCACTGGGAAGCATCTTTGTCATTTGCGGTATTGGCAGAAAACTTCCGCGGGCCTTACGCCTTGCTGTGATATCAGCTGCGTCTCTTACTTACTTGGGCACATGAGCTCTATCCTGGGCACTTACTAGCACTGCCCCCTGGGTTTCCACTCATCATTATTGCATGAAAGGAGGGGAGGATGCTAGCTGTGCTCTTGAATCCATTCCACTGATTTTCCAATCATGGGTGGATTTGTATACAAGGCCATAGTAACAGGCTCAAATTTCTTTTCATCTTTGACCTTCTATTTGTGCTGTATGCTTTTATTGCTGTGTAATGAGGAAGCTAAGAACATACAAATTTCTCTTACACTCTTAAATTAATTTTATACCACATGTTGACAGTATTTTAAATGCAGCGTGCACATTCTTTTTTGCCTTCTCAGAGCTTGCTGGGTCCCCAGCAGTAGAGCCCTTGTGCCTGAGCAGAGATAGGAGATGAGGACTCTCATGGGACCCACTCTGGGCTTCTGAAATAGAGACAGCCTCCCTGTGTCCCTGAGTCCATTTGCAGAGAGCAGTAGAGGGACAGGAAAGGGCAGAACTTAAAACCATTGGTATTTTAACTGGCTACAAGGTTCTCTTCCTATTTCCTCAATATCTTCACTCTTAAAAGATGGGAAGTTTTTGTTTGTTTATTGTGGTTAAAAATACGCATAACAATATTTGCCGATTCAACTGTTTTGACGTGTATGAGTCAGTGACACTGATTACGTTCTTCATGTTGTGCAGCCATTATCACTATCCTTTTCTGAACTAGACCACCACCATTAACATCAACTCAGTGCCCTCCAGGCAATAGCTCTCTTTCCCCTCCCTCCCGCCCCTGGTAACCACAAATAAGCTTTGGTTCCTATACATATTTGCCTATTTGGTATAAGTAAGATTATATAGTGTTTGTCCTTGGGTGACTGACTTATTTCGCTCAGCATAATGTTTCCAGGGTTGGATCATCCGTGATGTGGCATCTACCAGGACTTCATTTCTTTTAAAATGAGAAGTTGTTTATTCGCTCCCTGTTAAGTTTTAGAGATCAGTACAGTATATGGCAGCTCCTGAGTGTGTGGCTTCCCTGCACTCACAGAGTCCAGGATTCAACTACAAACCCCTGTGACTCCCCAGACATTCCTTGTCCATTTGCATTTTAAATTAAAAGGGAAAGAATGGGAAACATTACATTCATGAATAATGGCAATTCTTGAACATTCTGAATTGGGTTAGAAGGACTTAATTATTTCAAGAAGGCAAATAAGTTTATATTTTGGGAGGAGAAAAGGCTTAATTTTAAATGTCTGTGTCATTCCTATAGGACAGTGAATATTACAACTCTTTGAAGTGGATATTAGAAAATGATCCCACTGAGCTGGACCTCATGTTCTGTATAGATGAAGAAAACTTTGGACAGGTATGTGTGGGTAACCCCGAGAACTCCTTTGGCGTTCAGAGAGCGTTTTATTTTTCACAGGCTGCAGCAGTACTTTGCTGGACAATTAAAAACAACTACCCAGGAGTTCTAGATGTTAATTATCATCTAATTGTATCCGTACCTTACTATCATGCCCGGAAGCCAAGGCCCAGTTACAACCCTTTCTCTCTTCCAGCGCAAAGTTAGAGAAATCTGAAGAGGTCTTGTGGGACATGAATTAGCACCTACTTCTAATCTAAAACAAATCCAAGTGTCAATTTTCATTTGTGCCTTGGTTTTAGACTTTAGTTACTCTGAAAAATAGTGCAGTGGTTTCCGTGACCAGAAGCAGGGGATATTTGGGGGCCTTGGTTTTATTCTGCTTTATGGTTGTGTTGTCATGATGCAGTGGGTGTTATATGGGGCTCAGCATGGTGGGCTCAGGCTCCTATACCATTCCTTCTTGCTTTGCACCCACACTGTCATCAGGACTGGATTAATCATCAAGGTCAATTTCAAGGATAAAGTTGTCTGCCTGGAATTCTCATCATTATCCTAAGGTTCTAAAGGATGTGTTTGTCTTCTGCTTAAAACCTTTGATTTATTCCCCTCCCTCCTCCCCCCAAGTAATAATGATGTACTTGGGAGTATTATCTGACCCTAGTACCTATCTTCTCACAAAAGCCCAGAGATATTTTCCATCTCTCACAGTCTTGAAATTAATTAGATCATAGGGCGTGTTTTAAGGCTTGCCGTATGGAAAATATAGTAGACGGCTTCTCAGCTGCTTCAGAGATTACTGAAAGTGTATGTGCTCCACTATCAGAAGATGTGTCTACAGTCTGTATCACTTCACAATGCTGTTCTGAGTCTTATCGGTGAGCTTTGAGATCAGGCCCCTTGAGGTGTTCTTGGTATCTCCAGTGCTTGCACTTCGTTGATGCTTTCTCAGTGTTTATTAAGCAAATGAATGAATAGTGCTAGCCTAGTGTAGAAAATGGAGCCCTGGTGGTTTAGTGGTTAAGAGCTTGACTGCCAACCAAAAGTTCAGCAGTTTGACTCACCAGCTGCTCCTTGGAAACCCTATGGGGCAGTTCTACTCTGTCCTGTAGGGCCGCTATGAGTCAGAATCGGCTCCATGGCAGCAGGTTTGGTTTTTGGTTTAGTGTAGAAAACATTAATACTGTTATAAGGTGACAGAAGTCCAAAGTATAAGGAATCAAAGTCATATGAATTTCAATGACGAGTTTATTTTTTTAAGCTGGACTTATTTAAAGGCCCTAATGGCCAGTGTTCAAAGGATGACACATTAATAGTCACCCTGGAGCTGTGGCTTCCTTTCCTTTTTAACACATGAAGAAAGGAGTAGAAATAAAAGTCAGGGAGACTTAAAAATCCATCTTATGTGTCTTTTTTATGCATGCATTTACAGAAAACCGTAAGACTACCTGTCTTAGTCATCCAGTCCTGCTATAACAGAAATACCACAAGTGGATGGCTTTAACAAAGAGAAGTTTATTCTCCCACAGTCTAGCAGGCTACAAGTCCAAATTCAGGGTGTCAGCTCCAAGGGGAGGCTTTCTCTGTTGGCTCTGGAGGAAGGTCTTTGTGATGTATCAGTCTTGCCTTGGTCTGGAAGCATCTCAGCTCAGGAACCTCAGGTGCAAAGGACGCGCTCTGCTCCCAGCACTGCTTTCTTGGTGGTATGAGGTCCCCAGCTCTCTGCTTCCGTTTCCTTTTATCTCTTGTAAGATAAAAGGTGGTGCAGGCCACATCCCAGGGAAACTCCCTTTTTCATTGGATCAGGGATGTGACCTTAGTAAGGGTGTTACAATCCCACCCTAATCCTCCTTAAAATAAAATTACAATCACAAAATGGAGGACAACCACACAATACTGGGAATCATGGTCTAGCCAAATGTATACACAATTTTTTGGGGGGACATAATTCAATCCATGACACTACCTTAAATAACACAGTTCAGAAAACTACTGTAAAACCTGCGAAAGCTGGAACCTGTGTAATGCGGAAACCTGTCAGAGAAGGAAAATGCAAATATTTCCCACTAATAGACAGCAATAGGAAAGTGGTAAGACTTCACCGTGTCAAAGGCAGAAAACTTACAAGACCCAGAAAAACAAGGCAGTCCCGTCAAGTTCTGGCTCTCACAGGTTTTACTGTACTAGCAATGTCAAAGTCAGAAGCAGATGATCTAGAAAACCTTCCTTCATTATAGTTAACTATAACTATTCCCATCTAATAAATGAAAACCAAACAGGTTGTTTGGACTTGTAAGTCAACTTCTAATAAAGATCCTGATTATCGTTATACCTCATGCCAGTTATTCATGAAAACAATTCTCAAACCTCATTTAATGCTGTAGATTTTGCTGACTTTTGAATAGAATCAGGTACAGTAATGCAGTAATCACAACAGAGCCACAAGATGAGTAAGTTAATGATTCCATACCTGCTTTGTTAAATCACTGCCTTGCCTTTTTTGTTAAATCACTGCCTTGCCTTTTTAGAGAGCTAACCTAATTAGCAGGAAAATGATGTATCTGTTTTATATTCTGGTAAGAAATTTAGAGCAAGTTCAGCAGCTGTGTATTGATTCCAGCTCCCTTATCCAGTCTATCACCAAGTCTTGTTCATTTCACCTCCCAAATATTTCTCTCCGTTTCTCTCCTTCTCTTCCACCACCAGCACCCAAGCCCAACACCATCTTCTCTCATAGTCTTCTTACAGAGTCTCCCTGCACCCACCTTGCCCTCCTGTAATGGCAGAGTGGTCTTTTCAGAATGTAAAAGTGGTCATATTGTTCCTCTACTGGAAACCTCCGGAGGCTTCCCACTGCCCTCAAGATAAAGACCCAAATCTTTAGCGTGTCCCATGGAATCCTGCATGGCCTGGCCGCACCTACTATTCCCCCAGATGAGGTTCACATCACAAAGCTGCCCCTCCAAGTTCCCTGTCTGGCCCCACTGGCCTCCTTGAACACCCTAACTCCTTCCTGCCCCAGGACCTTTCCCATGCTGCTTCCTGCTATTGAGGGCACACTCCATCCACTCTCAGCTCAGGTGTCCCTTCCCCCAAGAAAGCCTGCCCTGACCCAGACCACTTGCTTCCAGAGTATCTTCTTGTCTCCTTCTTGGCACTGACCCCGGGTGACTTGCTATTTATTTGTATGATGATGTGTTTAGCATCTCTCTCTCCCTCCAGACTCAGGCTCCCTAAGGGCAGCACCAGGTGACAGTAGGAGTCCCTGGTGGCACAAACAGTTACGCGTTTGACTACTAACAGAAAAGGTGGTGGTTCGAACCCACCCAGAGGCAGACAGGCCTGGCCATCTACTTCCGAAAGGTCACAGCCCTGAAAACCCTATGGAAAAAAAAAAAAAAGAAACCCCTGTGGAGCACAGTTCTACTCTGCATACATGAGGTTGCCATGAGTCGAAATGAACTCCATGGCAACTGGTGTGTGTGTGTGCGCACACATGTGCCCGCACACTCTCACTACCTGGCCCAGTGCTGCTCCGTGGTAGTCACTCAGAACGGGGTTGTTGACCCAAAAATACAGACATTAACAATATGCCTGTCCTAGCCTCTCACCTCACTCAGGCCTCTGCCAACCTGTGGACTGTGCATTACTGTTTATTCCAACCCAAGAGGAAGCCCAAGATTCCCTGTGTAAAAAGTTAAAAATCATTTCCTTCAGAGGAGAAAAGCGAGTGTGGTTAACACAGATGAACTGTACATGCAGTCTGCCTTGCTAGATTTTGTGAGCTCTTTTTTTTTTTTGCATTCCACAATTAGAAATGTCAAACCACAAGGTTTGATAATAGCTGTCACTTCTGTGTGATGAAACAGCGATTGCCGTTATTTTGTGATTTGCTTTCTTTCTGGTTGGTCAGAATCTGAAGCTGCAGGTTTCTGGGGCTTCTTTGAATTTGTGTCAGCAGGAGTAAGAATACGTCATACACACATACACTCGTAGACACACAGGTACACACCCTACCGCCTAGGAGAAGGAACCATTTTAGAGCTAAAAACCAGTGGTCGAGTCATCTCCAACTCATGGCAACCCCATGTGTGTCAGAACTGTGCTCCATAGAGTTCAATGGCTGATTTTTCAGAAGGAGATTGCCAGGCCTTTCTTCTGAGGTGCCTCTGGGTGGATGCAAACCGTCAACCTTTTGGTTAGCAGCTGAACCTGTTAACTAGTGGCACCACTAAGGCCTCTGTTACCGCTACAACAAGTAGACACTCTTGATTGCAGGTTCAGTGAAGTAGCATCTGAGCTGGTGGTTTTGAAAAGGTGGTTTTGGTAAATGTCTCAGAACTCGTACAAGAGGCAAGGGCGGAAAGTGGGCAGGGACCATGTAGGAAAATGTCTCTGGAACCAGGCATGTGTTAGGTCAGTGTCTACATTCTCACTGGGGCGATATCACCCCCAAGGGGATGACAGTTGGTTCTTGGGAGGCAAAAAAATTCTTAGACATTACAAAGGGCCACAGTACATACTGCAGGTATAGTGTGGTTCTGTTTATTAAAATTTCATGAAGGGGAGAAATTAGAAAAAAAAATCCACGAAACCTCCTTAGGGAGCAATAATAATAATAATAAAAGATTGAGAAACATTGGGTTGGGGGAAGAGATTGAGTGGAGAGACAGAGGCTGGAAATAGGAGGAGGAAAGAGAGCGGGGTGAGGGGCAGAGCAAGATCCTGGCAGCATTGCTGCTTCTTTGAAAGAAATTCCATGCATCTTTTTTTAGGCCTATAAAATTTAATTTTCAGAAATAAATGGGTTAGGGTTAGGGTTAGAATTTGGGTCTTCATAATCTTGATGAATATACCCTGTCTTTCTTCTGTTAAATATAATTTATTTCTTGAGAAATGAATAGCAGATGTAAAAAATGTTGCTCTTCTCCATTGTTGCCAATATATGAAGAATAATTAAAGCTCATAAATAACCATAAAATAATTTGCCTTTAGTGATAGCATCTTTAAACATGTTACATCTTAACAATTTAAAAACCTCATTAGACGTTCTCTTGTACAGAGAGCTCATTTGCTGGGAGAGATTTCTGAATAAATTTTGCTTATCTCCCTTTTATACTCAGATGTTATTACTGAGTAATAATATGCAAAATAACTTCATGATGGTGATTGTTTTATCTTTGTAATTACAGACATACCAAGTGGATCTGAAGCCCAATGGGTCAGAAATAATGGTAACAAATGAAAACAAAAGGGAATACATTGAGTAAGTATACAGATATTTACAGCCTTTTCTTTTAATAAACTGAACAGCATATTTGGTTGACATGTTTGCCAAACTGCTCATGCATGTTACGGGCATGAGTTTGTTGGTCAGTTTTCAGCAACACAAGTTCCCTCTTGGCTGGGGCTAATGGGAAGTTAACTTGATGGAAACTTTTACTTGTATCAAAGGAGCGCTGGTGGCAGAGTGATTGAGTACTCGGCTGCTAACCGAAAGGTTGGTGGTTTGAACCCACCAGCCATCTGCAGGAGGAAGATGTGGCAGTCTGCTTCCATAAAGATTACAGCCTTGGAAACCCTATGGGGCAGTTCTACCCTGTCCTGTAGTGTCTCTGTGAGTCGGAATCGACTCAGTGGCAGTGGGTTTTACTAGTATCGTGACTTCAATGAGCTGTCATAGAAACAAGCTGTGGAAGGAAAAGACTGTACATTATTGAATAATATGGCAAATACTCTTTGGGAATATGTGGGTTTCTAGTCTAAAATTTAGAAAGCAACAATGGAACACAATGTAAATTACCAGTGGGGTAAAATTAGAAGCTACCAAAGATGAAACATTTCATCTCTTTCCTGACTTCTTTTTCATAAGGAAAATAGTTCAAATGGATAGAAAGAATTCAACACATGCAAATATAATGGACTGTTTCTAACATTTGTAATTGTCTGAACTCAGTTTCACCTCAGTTGGTGTAACAAAAGGCTGAGTTTTTTTTTTAGAAGTACAAATGTTAAGTAATCCTAGGACATTTATACTATTCAGAAAGTCATCTTCTGTTGAGCATATTACTTTTCCTTTTTGGTATGTGTTGACAGATAGATAGACAGACATATATACAGAGAGAGAGGTAGGCTTCAAGTGCACAATTCTGCATTATTCCAAAGATTTCCAGGTTGATTTTGTTGCTCTTACTTACTTTGCCAGTTTAGGCCAGGCCAGGTACAGGGACAAAGGGATGTAGCAATGTTTGGTTCCTGAGTCCTGGCTTCATTTCGTGGGTTACAGCAGTGGCCTGAGCTTGTTTGTACTCAGTGCTTTGTTCAGCATTTCTTCTCATTTGAAGTTGGTAAGAGGACTGGAATTTGGAGAATTGGCCAAGGGTTTTATCAACTTTTAGTGTGATCTGGAAGGAAAAAAAGACCTGCTGCCCTTCTGAATTAAGAAGAAATGGAGAATACTGGAATCTCTCCTTAGAGACCATGGCAAAGAGTGTGACTATTACATAGTAGAATGTTCCTCCACCATCAGGTTAAAGAGCTTGTTCTGCTTAGTAAAAAACTAAAAGTAAAATGCTACAGTTCTGATCTGTTGACGTGCAGTGGCATGCTTGTTCTGAACTTGGAAAATCTCACAAGATGACACCCTTCGTCTTCATTAGGAAAGTAGACATCGTTGTCTTCATTAGGAAAGTACAGCTCTTGGATAGGTTCTAAAACAACAGTTCACCCCAGAGCCACTAGGGTCTAAAGTCCAAGGAATCTGACACATGAGATATATGTCATGCATCATTCTTTGCAGCAAATTGTTTTAGGTTTCAAATTTGGTGGGGGCTGGGGCTGAGCAGATTTCCAGCTAGCTTCACTGAAAAAATTATGATTGAAATCGCCAACTGTTCCCTGACACCTGTATTCCCTGGGTGCAAGGAGAATGATATGTGGCTGCTGATGACAGCACAGCACAGCAAAACCTGATAGGACTGAGCAGTGGCTGTGGAGCCAGACTGGTCCTTGAGGGCCGTTGCCATGGTGCCCCCTTAGATTCGAGGGCCCTTTATGACAAGGTCCTTGTGCTATTTCACGTTGAAATCCACAGTGGATTAGCCTTCCAGTCAGTTCTGCTCAGCACTAAACAGTCACAGGGAAAACCATTCAGTGAATATCAGTTACTTAAAAGGATCTCACATTAATCCTCCAAATGTTGGTATTAAGATATTACTGTAAATTGTTTTGCTAATAGAGCTTACACATCAGTGCTGAAAATCAGTACATTGAATACGAGAAAAAAATATAGACAAAATATGTTGTACTTGGTACTCTCTTTAAAAATATATTTTATACACATCTTTACACATGCATGTGTGATATATGTATGTATGCATGTGCACACACACACCACACACATATATATTCATACTCCATGATTTTTTCTCTTTTCTCCACATAGTCACATTTATAAAGCAACTTTGGTAAGTGAAAGATCTGGAAAAAAACAAAGACATCAAGCATTATTCTTTTGAAGTTCTCAGTGAGATTTTAGCTTCTTCACATGTGTTCCAGTTAGTATTGAAAGGATTAATGAACAAACAGTGTGTTCCCAGCATAAGACCTTTGCTTTCACTGTGTCATTATGGGGTTTTGTTCCTTTCCCTGCCTGATGAGAAGCAGTCAAGGTCGTGAAGGAATAAATGAGCCCTGGCCATGACACAGGTGGTTCAATACTGTTCCATTCTCTCTGCAGCCTCGTCATCCAGTGGAGATTTGTGAACAGGGTCCAGAAGCAAATGAATGCCTTCTTGGAGGTAAGCTGTGCTGGCTGGGTGCTCTGCCGGTGCCTTAGGCAGAGGTCAAGCAGCATTGCTTCTCTCACGTGGCCAGTGTGGTGGAGTTGGTCTTGCACCTGAAGACGGGGTTGGGAGTGGGGTCATGAGGGGAAACGTCAGGAATGCTCAGCTCAGCTCAGCTCAGCCCCTGGCCAGTCTCCAGGACAGGAGTCTGTTATTCCCCAGACTCCACCTTTTGTTGTTGTTGGTTAGTGTTCTCTTGCTTTGCTTCTCTTAAACCTTTTAATTTGCCTTAACTGTTTTTATAAAGGACTTTTTGCAAACTTAATCCAGAAGGCCAGGTTCCCCCACAGAGGCTACGACCGCTGTCCTGAATTGTCAGGTGATATCCACAGGAGGCCAAGAGACACATCTCTGCCTTTTGCTGAGGTGACAGGTTCTGAGAACTTTATAGACTCAGAGCTGAACAGTATAAATAGCAGTTTCCAATTATGCCATTCCTTCCCGGTAGCAACGCCATGCCCTTCCAACACTGTCTTATGCCCTGCCCTTTCTGCATGGCTATCTTAATTCCTCACAGACATCCTTCCTTTGCAAGTACATGTCGAATTCATTTCCTTAAGCTGGGTTTTTATTTTATTCCAAGCCACCTTGTGCCATCTTCCACCCTGTCTGAAGGGTGACGCAAGCACTTCCCGTATTTAAATACAGTGAAACCTGCGAAAGGTGGAACCTGTGTAAGGTGGAAACTTGTCAGAGAAGGAAAACTCAAATAACGGAAAGACGAGATAATCTCATCGCATCCCAGCTCTCACAGGTTTTACTGTATGTCATGTCAGTGAGGCTCCCAGGCTGCATATAAGAGGACCCTCGCAGAGGCTTCTTTTTAAAAAAAAAAAAGTGTTACTCTAGCCAAAAGTGAAATTCCTTTTTAAATCTTCCTAATGGGTATTAAGGAGTCCCTGGGTGGTGCAAATGGTTAAGTGTTCAACTACTAACCAAAATGTTCGTGGTTCCAACTCACCCAGAGACACCTTGGGAGACAGGCCTGGTGATCTGCTTCCAAATGGTCACAGCCATGAAAACCCTATGGAGCACAGTTCTCTGCATACGTGGGGCCACCATGAGTCAGTCAACTCACTAACATGGAAAAAAGCAGCCACAAGTCCACATTTTTAATTTCCACTGAAGGGACGCAGACCTCCAGCTTGGTGCCACTCACGGAAGCTCTCCCCTAGCTCCGTTCCCAGTATGTGACAAATAAAGCCCTAGCCCAGACCACATGCTCAGAAACTTCAGGGGCTTGGTGACATAGAATGTGAGGTAAACCTACTTGAGAACAGCAGGTGTCATATTTGTTTGGACAAGAAACCCTAAGAAGCAGATGCCTGGGCCCCACCCCAGGTGATCTACACTTTCAGACACCCGGTGTCCACAGGCTGCAGTGCCCAGAGGTATTCGGAGTTTCGTCCAAGGTCACTCCTACCTAGTGGTAAACAGAAACAAGAGCTCGATTTTCCGCACTCCCAGTCTCTCTGCCAGATCATTCTGCTCCTTCTGCATTTCATCTCTGTCCCTTCAGTGTGTTATTTTTGAAAATGTTCTTTTGCACATCTGTCCTGTGCGTCTTAGGACACACTGACTCCATAGCAATACGTCATATGTGGCTTTCAGAATCCACCTGCTGGCAGCAGCCCACATTTTCATAAGGCTTCAAAATTTACTCAAGTACCTGAACTTTCTAGATGGTACTATTTTTCAACATGGAGTTACATGTTATTGCAATTACAGCAGTTTGATACCATCGTTGATATATGGATCATCAGTTTAAAAAAATGTATTTTCCTAGCTAACCAAAAAAATTTGTTTTTCCTTTAAAATATGTCTCTTTCAAGGAAAAAGGTATTTAAGGTGATTTTTTTCTTCTTTTTTTACCTTCAGGGATTCACAGAACTACTTCCTATTGATTTGATTAAAATTTTTGATGAAAATGAATTGGAGGTTTGTATTGTGAACATCATTTTATGTATAGAAGATAAAAAGTATCGTTATTTTACAACTAGATTTTAATATTCTCTGATGCATACTGTCCCTAAAGGAATAAGTTGAGATGAAATCTATTACATGTCTCTTGTCTGTGGGGCTTGTTTGTTTGCTGATTTGAGAGTAAGGAATTGCAGAAGTACCCAACCATAGATTCATTACCCGTGAGAGGGCAGTTCTGGGGCATATCAGATAAGTAGAGACCCATCCTCTGAATGGGTTCATGGTCTTGTGCACACCAGGTAAGGAAAATTGCATCAGGTAGAGCCAAGGTTTCAGCAGCCCTTTGGGGTGTCAGCCCCCTGCTTGCAAGGCCCAGCTGGCCGAAGGTCCTAAGGTGCCTCTCCATCCCTGTGGCAGCTATAAATGGGGAGACATGGCCACACAAGGTGGGGGTAAGCATCTGCTAGGGGCTGGAGACCAGCTGTCTCAGTAAACTCGAAGTGGTTGATGCTGAGTAAGAAAGAAACATCAGACAACAACAAGGTAGTAGCAAAAGATAGTTTAATGATTCTGTCTCAGCTTCTTTGTGTTGACTGACTGAGGTGCGAGCTAGCAGTGTAAGAACCAAAGGATGTTTCTCACCCCTTTTTGTGTTGAGAGAAACATGAGGAGGAAGCCTGTGGCTAATTGAGAAGCTGTTGATGAGACTCAGCCATTTGTCCAAGCCACGTCCATGAAGCATTTCTCATAGACTGGCTTTCTGTACTTTTATCTCAAAGTGGAAGCTTTGAGGTAGATGATGACATAGAAATCATATAGGGTGAGCCTTGTAGGAGAAGTCACTGACCTCACAAGTTTCCCCAGCAAGGTGCTGGCATAGGCAGGACCAGGAACCTAGTGTTCGGGCTCTGGTTTAGTTCTCCTTCATTTTTCTCTGGTGCCTCTGCGAGAATATCATAGTCCATTTTTTCACAGGGAACTTTCTCTGTTGAAAGGTTACATAATAGGAGAAGCAAACTTAAGTGATAAGTCAAGGAATTGATGACGGCATTAGTACATGTCTCGGTCCACAGGCCCCTGAACAGATTAGGTTATTTCTCATCCCCTGGATTGATCGATCTCGGGGAGATGAGTTCTTGCTGTCATATGCATTAATTCTCTGGGGCAGGGGGCAAATACTGTATTTTCAAATATGGAGACAAATAACCACTCAGAAGGGAGAACTTCATCCAGGATAAAGTGCATATGTTAATGGAGCGTAAGGAAATCTGTGAGCACTGGGTTTAAGATTAGAGGGGTTGAGAAGAGGATTGACTCGGAGCTTTTATTTCCAATGTGAAGTGTAATGACCTTGTCCAAGCTTGGAGTTGGGTCACCCCCATTCCCTATGATGTCTCTTTGGTCTGCCGTGGCAGGTAAAATTTGGGAGCACGTATCCATCTTCATTTGTTTTTATGAATTGCTTTGCACAATGACAAAACGCTGGCATTGAGGAAAAGCCAGTTTTCTGTGTGTATGACTTTTAGGCTTTCCTGTCCTGCCTCATTTACACCTGGTCAATTTCCTTACTAGTTGCTGATGTGCGGCCTTGGTGACGTGGATGTGAACGACTGGAGACAGCATTCTATTTACAAGAACGGCTACTGCCCAAATCACCCCGTCATTCAGTGGTTCTGGAAGGTAACTAACTCCAGGCCGCGGTGGGCCTCCATGGTGTGCTGGGAGCCACAGGGATAGATCCCTTTTCCATGCTGCTCCACCTGGGTTAGGTCTGAGGGCTCTTTGCTGCCCTTCGTGGTCTCACTTGGGGACTGACTCTGGAAATTGGGGTGCTATATTTGCACTTGGACTGCTAGGGGAGAGAAGAGGCAGACTGAGCTGGAAGAAGCTCTTAACTGCTGCTTGTCTGTATCACTAATGGACAACTAGACCTTGAATAAGATTGCTCCTTATCAAAGCGCATGTCTTTCCTCGACTCCTTGGTTAAAGTCGCTGTTATTTGGAGAACCCAGAGAGTAGGATGGTTCTAAAAAGGAGCTAACTGGATTCAAGCAATCTGAAACTAGTCCACTCAAGTGAAAATAAGAATGGAAGGTTTCTCAACGTGTAACCATGCTCTGGGACTTCTTTCCAAGATGCCATTTTCTGTTTAAAAAAAAAAAAAAAAAAAATTTATTTCCCCCCATTTTTTGTTAATTCCAACCAACATTTTGAGCTTTATGCCTTTCAACAAAGATGTAAATGAAATTTGATCTACTTAGTACCAGTGTTTTCATTCTACTCAACTTAGGCAGGAAGGGAAATTGGAATGGGTGGGTACAAAGGAGAGAGATGGTAAGTTGACTTTAAAATTCCAGTTTTTAAAAAAGGCTGATTGTTTGCTTAGAGAAAAAAAGAAATTGCCTAACTTGTTTTAATTTCTAAAATTTATTATTAATAATATTTCAAGTGCCAGAAGAAGTGTACAGAGAGAAAAAAACAAAAGCAGGTTCTTTGTGAGTCCTTGTCCCTGTCTCACCCAGCTTTGATTTGGGGTATTTTTTTTTTTTTTACTGCAGTTCAAATAACATTACCAGTAAAACCAACTCAATTCCTGTTATAATTCAGACATGTAAGATAATACAGATTGTTTTAGAGGCCTTTCCTTCCCTTTTTTTTTTTTTTTTTTTTATAAAATGTTATCTTAGAGTATTTGTTGACATGTGAAATCCCATCTCATATTCTCTTGTATCCTGTGTTCCCCAGTGTCAATGCCTCTGTAAAACTGTGTATTTATCATTGGCTTAGGGGAGCTGGCACATCTTACACACACAAACATGAGCTTGATGCCATCAAAGAGTCAGCGTTTTATATCCTTTATTTTGACGTACTGGCAGAAGAAGAGAGAGACATTGTGATCTCTAAAATTAGAGAGGACGGGATTGTGGTGCCCATTAAAAAAAAAAAAAAGGCTCAGTTTTCAGAGTCAACCGTCTGGGTCTGGCCTCGCAGGGTAAATAAGACCAAGTCCGGCATGTCTGCCCTGCAGTCACGTACACGGGTCACGTGGGGATGCACTGACCTCCTGCCCCTGTTCACAGGCAGTGCTGCTGATGGACGCCGAGAAGCGCATCCGGTTACTGCAGTTCGTCACGGGGACATCCCGAGTACCCATGAATGGATTTGCTGAACTTTACGGTGAGCAGGATCACGTTGGGGCCAGGTCCTCTCCTGTGACTCCCTAGCCTGAATGCAGCTGTGTCCCCAGAAGACTCTTTGTCCTGGGCCCCTGGACAAGGCTAAGATGTCTTTTCATGACAGTGTCACAAATAGGTTCAGTAAAAGTACAGGTGGTCCCCGACTTAATGAGGTATTCCTGTTATGACAAACCGCACTTATGGGTTTTTTTTGTACATGTTATTGTTAGTAACATGTACTGCATACAGTCTTGCAGCGTGTGATTTGCTGATATTATCATTCTCAGATGTTCATTTGCAGACGTTCAGAGACAAAGATCGGATTTATAAAGATACTGATAATAAAAGGCAATAATAATGAAAACTTAAAAAAAAAAGTATTAGACTTAAGTCAGAACCAACTTATGATGGAGTTGTCGGAATGGAACCCCATCATAAGTCAGGGACTACCTATACTTCACACAGATAATTGCATGCTTCTGCATCAAGCTATTGTACCATTATCTTTATTTAGGGTCTCCTCCCCCTTCCTCTTCAGGGAACCATAAGGTTGATCTTCTTTTTATTTTGTTTTATTTTTTTTCCCCGCTGCTTTTTTGGTGCATCTTTAAAAACTAAGTTTTACAGCGTCATCTGTTTGATTATAAACAGAATTAAGTTTAAAGGGCACTTCACCTCCAGGAGGCAGGATTCTACAGTGCTTACTGTAGATTTTTTTTTTTAATTACTCTTTCTGCTCCATAAACTGAAGGTCACATTTTTTTTTCCCCAAAAAAAGTTTTAAATGTAAGCTTCCAGGTTTAAAGGTTGTCGGCTGTCTGCAGTTCCAGATGTTGTTATGTTGGTTAAACTTGACCAGATTCCACTCTGAAAGCCTTGCAGTCTGTGTTGTGAAGCTGTGCAGACCTCTTGCTTCCTCCAACATTAAATATTATGTTGCAGCAGACAAGGGTGTCAGACGGAGCCCGGAGCCCGGGGCAAACCCTGCCTAGTTGCAGTCCTGACAGGAGCTGAGCCTTCTCTTCTCTCTCCTTCCTTATTGACTTTAAGTCCACACATTAGTTTTGTTCTACTGCCCTAAGCACTCTTCACATTATTACTTTTTTTTTCTTCCAGGTTCCAATGGTCCTCAGCTGTTTACAATAGAGCAATGGGGAAGTCCTGAAAAACTGCCCAGAGCTCACACTTGGTGAGTGACAAAAACACCGAGGTGTCAACAAACAGTATTTAAAATACTTAGCTGTATGTGGTGCTGGGCTAGGAGTTACAGAATGCCACACTTCTGCCCATAAATAGCCTGTTGTTGTTGTTAGGTGCCATCGAGCCAATTTTGACTAACAGCGACCCCATGTGACAGAGCAGAGCTGCCCCATAGGGTTTTATTTGCTGTAATCTTTACGGAAGCAGATCACCAGGTCTTTTTCCCGTGGAGCTGCTGGGTTGCTTCAAACTGCCAATCTTTCGGTTAGCAGCCAAGCACTTAACCATTGCACCACCAGAGCTCCTTCATAAATAGAGTACCAAATGACATCGACGTAGATGAAAATGTAAATTGTAGAGTAATATTAACAAAACTTAAAGTAGGATTTAAACAGACCCGGTATATTTCGCACTGAAAGGGTTAAACCCTCCGTGCTACCGGAAATTTGTCCTCCAGGCCCCCTCTTTCCGTAATTATTCTAGGTAGCAGAGATTTCACTATATATTTAATACATATAGGTGTGGCAGCTCCCAACCTATAGACAGACTGGGTTTTTATTCCAATGTTACATTGGTTGTGTAGAACTTAGGATAAAATTATCTATAGAAACAAGGTTTTTGAAAGGTCTTCCATGCCAGCCTATAAGCCGTAATTCCCCTGGAATTGAGTAATGATGTAATGGTGGCAGGGAGCATAAGTGCCTGACAGATGACCCTATGCCCAGGGGAGAAGGCTGTCGTCAGACGCCCACTCGGGATGTGAAGCTTAGGAAGAAGGATCTCAGTGGTCGTCTTTGCAGAGCTACATGACACCACACAAATGCAAAGCATGTGTGCAATAGATTTTTTTATAGCAGCATTCCATGAACTCTGGTCTTGCTGACCCAAGCTCCAGTGTCCCTCGAGTAGGCTTTTCTGCACAGGCTTTTGTTTCTTGCCGTTTAGGAAGCTAGTGAGAATGGGCCTTCTGGAAGAGTGGCGAGCCGCTCACGCCCACAACCCCGCTTTTCTCACCCTCAGCAAGGGATCCCAGAGCCCACATCAGCCACACTGAGCTCCATAATGCAACTGAACACTCAGAGCAAGACACGCCCACCCTAAACTAACAATGCTGGTGCACAGAAAATTTGCATGAAAATGTATTTGTGAAAAATTGGCTGTGAAAGGGTTTCTGCTTCGGTTGGATTCTCTTGCCTCACTGGAAAGAAAGGTTTTTCCATTCATCCCGCTCTGAATGGAATGAATATGGTCATTGCCAGTCAGGCTCTTGAAAGCCAGCCGAACCCTGCCTAGGATGAGTGAATGCCCAGTGCAGTCATGCGCATGAGCCTCTGCTTTTGTTCTAGAGGGACAGTGCTTTGGTAGTTTGGAGCTTTGATTCCAAACAATATCAGAGTCAAACATGGTTCTCTGGGTTATGATAGGAGTCCCTGGGTGGCGCAAACGGTTAAGACGCTCGACTGCTAACCGAAAGGTTAGTGGTTTGAGTCCACCCAGAGGCACCTCAGAAGAAAGCCTGGGGATCTACTTCTGAAAAATCAACCATTGAAAACCCTGTAGAGCACAGTTCTACTCTGACACACATGGGGTCACCATGAGTCGGAATCAACTCCACGGCAACTGGTACTGGTGGGTTATCATACCTTTGGTTTGAAAGGCAGGCAGCATTGAGCCAAACCCCAGGACTTTTGGTAGTGGTGCAGAACCCCGAAACTGCTAGTACTAATAATAATGAGTATTAATAAGCACTAAATTAGTACAGTCATCTTCTGTGGATCAGGCACTATACTAAGCGCTTACACATATGGACCTATTTAACCTTTATGGCAACCTGTGGTTTACTACTATTATCCCCATAAGCTATTCGTAAGCTTACCCATGATCACACAGTTCAGAAATTCACAAAGCACAGGATTTGAACTCAGGTCTGCTGGAATTAGAATCTGTACCTTTAACCACTACACCAGATGTACTGCCTCTGTTGATACAGTTTACTTTCTTTTTAGAATCTTCAAAGAGAATCCAATAATGTCATATTGTCTCCCTATGAGCCTATGGACAGATTTCTTTTTTGTTTTTTTTTTTTTTAATTGCCATCAAGTTAACTCCAACTCATGGCAATCCCCTGTGTGCAGAGTGGAACTGCTCCATAGGGTTTTCAAGGTTATGACTTTTCAGAAGCAGATCACCAGGCCTGTCTTCTGAGGCGCCTCTGGGTGGGTCTGAACCGCCAACCTTTCAGCTACTAGTCGAGCACTTAACCGTTTGCATCACTCAGGGACTCCTCTGTGGACAAACGTCTTCCTGTTGAACTTTTTTCTATTTCAGCACCCACGCACTTCAGACACGACGAGAAAATGGTGCAGCCAAGATGAGCTCTCCACACTCGTTCTCAGCCTGGGATGCACACTGGAACCACCTGGAGAGCTTTACCTAAATGCCAGTGCCAGGGTCCACCCCCAGAGGCTGAGATTCAGTTGGTCTGGGGTGTGACCTGGATGCTGGAATTTTAAAGCTCCTCCAGTTGATTCTTGCTTGCAGCCAGGGCTTGCTTTCTTCCATAGATTATATAGCTTATTTGGTATGGGCAGTTTCATAGCTGGAATTTATATTTTGGTCCTCAGAATTGTTGGCTAAGATTTGTTCATCCTCTTGCCCAAACACCGAATGGCTCCTTTGCCAAATCTAGGAAATGGCTGTTGTCACTAAAGGGAAATCATGATTGCTTTTCACCTCCACACTTTTGTCCTTTTGCAGCTTTAATCGCCTTGACTTACCTCCATACGAAACCTTTGAAGATTTACGAGAGAAGCTTCTCATGGCTGTGGAAAATGCGCAAGGATTTGAAGGGGTGGATTAAACGCTCCCTGCCTCGGGGTGGTCGTTCATCGAGCAAGTTCTGCTCACACTTTTGCATTTGCCTAACAGACTTTTGCAGAGACAGTGGCGGAAGCACAGCTGCGCAGCATGGCTCCTGGAGCAGAGCCTTCTCCTGTGCACGTGCCCAAGTGCAGACGTGGGAGCCGGTCCCAGCGTGTGCTCCTTCCTGCATTCTCCACCACAAATTATCAACTGGTTGACGTGTACGCTAATTACATTTCAGGAGGACTTACTCTATTTATGTTGTGCCTCTGTAGGCAAAGCCCTTAATAAATATTTTACATACTTTCTAATGACAATGAATGGAATTAATCACTCTACAGGTATAGTATTACAGCTCATGTTTACTTTTTTAAATGATTCAGACCGATTTTCAGATTTTATTTCATTACGATTAAAGATGTCTCCTGTACTTGGAAAGTAAGCTTTTTTTTTTTTTTTTGTATTTGAATTTCATACCAAGCTTCTTGTCAGTGACGTTTTTATTTTTGAAGTCCTTTGACACTCCCCCCACCCAACTTTATTAGAATCAGAAGACTGATTTTTGTCCAGAAACCTGCAGACAAGTACTTTGAGAGACTCTCCAGTGGAACATTAGGCATAATGATATTTTTCTCCATACTAGAGAGGATGAGAACAAACTGGATATTACAGGTTTTTTGTTGTTTTTTTTTTTTGTATAAACTTAGCTTAATAGCTACAGGCTGAGAGAACTGTAATATAGCATGACAAATTTTGTGTTGACTTGAAAGGAATCACACCATTATTCCTTAGAAGTAATTACGTGTGCTGTAACACATTTGAGACAGGGTTGGACTGTCCATTCTCCTAGGAGAAATTGCTTAACCCTTCCTGACGCTGTACAGTCATCCTTTTATTATATTTTCCTCTTTGCTGTTTGTTGTAGAGACATTCTTGAATGAAACTTGGCACTGCTCGATTTGAAACTGTGGAAACCAGATCCGTCTTGTCTCCTGTTTATATGCGTTTGCTAAAGGTCGCTGAATAACTCATTTTCGTTCTGACTGCACCAATTCTGAAGGCACTTTATGTACCACATGGAGGTCATGTCTGGTTTTGTTTTCGTTTTTTATTATAACCATTAAATGTGATGATGATTTCTTCTCCCTGCACACGTCTTTCCGGTACGATATCTATCCATTGTGAATCTGGCTGCTGATGATGTATAAAACCCAGATGTAAAGCTGAGCCTGCAGACCTGTCCTCACTGATTGTTTTGTGATTTCTACTCAACTACCGAGATTTATTTAATATACAGTTAATCTAACCGAGTTTTGTTACCTATGACATGTTGCATGCTTAAATACTATGTACTGAGTTGTACCTACCGTGCGCTACATGGAACATGAGAGAGAAGATTTGATTTGCTCCACTAAGTCCAGCGGTTAGGCTGGTAGTGGTACAGGGCCGAGGATACCTGCGCATTTGGGTTCTCTTCCACTTTGGAAGTCTGTGAAGTCTTTGTTCCAGAATTCTGTCGTGTTTTCAGAGAATGTCTGAGACAGTAGTGTCTGCTGTCGTGATTTCCTTTTTAGCCAGTATTGTCCTATACCCTGTCGTGGCAGTTAAAGACACTAGAGATTTGATCTCTTCCCAGTTGTAGAGAAGACAAAAAGCTGTGGTTTCAGGAGCTCCATTGGTTACCTAAGAAGGACCGTTTGGTGCGAGAAAATGCTAATTACCCAGCTTTGGGTGGCTTGGGAGAAGCCATGGATGTTTGCAGTCATAAATGAGTTATCTGAAGTGGTGCAGAGGCCTGAGATTTCTCAGAGATGGTGGATTTCTACAGAGCCAAGTACTGCTTCCCTTTTCATATTGGTTTAAAAACATCCAGTGGTAATCAGAAAACTTAGATATCAAGTAATTATCAAGAACAATATTGTTCATTATTTTTACTTGTGGGACTTTTTGCCCTATGGTCAGTGTAGCAAATGTCTCAGTGGAAAAATCCCCCTTTTGTGACGCTCATAGTCCAGAATGTTTTCTTTTCAGGAATTGTGCCAAAGGCCGAGTTGAGCAGCATGCTTTGATGGTTTTTGAGAGTGATCATAAAATTATAGGGAGAGCAATCCAACAATTGTAGTCTAGGAACCAGGATCCCTCTGTCATTCTGTAAATTGTGTAGTCAGAAAAGAATATCCACTAAAAGCAAATTAGGCAAAGTATTGAAAGTGTGAAAGAAAAATCATTCCAAGATAACTTCTAAACCAGGAACAGATAAGAATTATCAGAACATACCCCTATGAATACTTGAAGGATAACAATTGTGAATGGCAATTCCGTTCCTCTACCCTTTAGTAATACCTGATTTTAATGAGAACCAAATATTGCTGGGCTTGGGGATCTTTTTTAAGTCAAAATAAGGTTCACTGTTCGTTAGCAGTTCTCAGTGTTTCACTCTTCGTCTGAAATAGTCGTGGATCTTGTTTTTGCTAAATCTTGACGACCATTTCCCATCTTCAGGACGTAATTGCGGGTGACAGGTGAGGAAATGTGCAGCCTAAAGAGTGGGTTGCTTGGTCATTCCCTGGGCATCTGCCTACCCCACCATCCGGCCCAGGGAGAAGGAAGGTGTTGCCTGTTCTAGGGTGTCCTGAGCAGCCCACGCTACTCTGAAATCCAGGGTCTTTCTAGCCTCCATTTTCTCCCAAGCCACAGGAATTACCTTCATCCAAATTCCTTAGTTCCCTGCAGCAGGGACAGTCGTTATGGACTCGTTTACCATGAGGTTAAGAAGTTCCAAATCATGATAAAGGTCTGTGAACATCAGTTATCACGGCTGCCCAGAGGTCCTGAGTATTCCTATCCCTACCTCTTGTTGGCCTAAGGATGAATTTGGAAATCCGCCTGGTGGGATTAGCTCAGATGGTGTGCTCCTTTTCTACCTGCTGCCTTCTGGAATGGTAAATGATGAGGCATTTGGCTATGTTAAAGCTGTATTCCATTTCATTGCTTTTGTCTTTTTTGCCTGAAACATGACCGTAGTTTATTTTTCTGTAGCAAGTCTTCTAACAAGTCACAACAGTGTACAATGTGTATTTAATTTTTGTTTCCAAGGCTCTTTGCTAGCCACCACCAGAGATTCCCTAAGGTCAGATGGTAAATGATGTAAAAGCCGCTTTACATGAATTATTCCTCCCACTTAAGGACCTGGTGACAGACTTTGAAAAATGGTTTGCAAAATATTTGAACCACTCTGTAGCTCACATTGTTAAAGAGACCACATGTACCATTGTTGTTTGATCTTGCCAGATCCAAATTGGGTGTCTTGAAAGCCAAGTTCATATGCAGCAAATCACTAATTATTGTTAACAGTTACTGATGGTTTAAGAGTTGACTCTAGTATTTCCCTAAGAGTCTTGTATCTCACTTCTGGAATTTTAACATCTATGAAGAGAGCCTGGGTTAATCTATTCTTGAGCCCCTACCACCGAGCTAGCTCTCCTCTTCCTTTGCCTCTCTCCTCCAGGGCCTGATTCTGTCCCCCGACTAGGAAGGAGAGGTGGGGAGGTGCTGTCTGGCGTCATTTTCTGACTTGCCAGTAGGAGGTGCTGCTGTGCAGGGTAACTACCCGCCAGCTCTCTTCCCAACCCCCAGAAGACCAAGCACTACCTCTGTCTTTCAGGCTTTGGGGTATGTCCTGAGAATTCATGTCAAAACTGCCAACTTCAGGTCTGAGATGCATTTAAAAAATCCTTATGAACCCCACTTTGTACTTTAGATTTTAAACCTGGGAAGAAAATGTGATATACTTTGGACCACTTTTTTTTTTTTTTTTTTTTTCTATACGCCTTAATGAACAGTGTATATACATGGGCATACACATGCCCTCACCCCAGAGTGCTTTCAGTGTGTCAGAAAATGCTGTAGCATTAGAATGTGAGCCGGGGTCATGTCTTACAGGAAAGGGATAGCTTTGTTGTGTGTGGAGTTTTCCAAGAAAATCTCTCATCAGGCACCCATCCTTCGTTTGAGATGTTACACTCAAAGCAGTGCATGTTGGAAATGCATGTCTTTGTGTTAGCTGGTTTTATGTTTGTAAGGAATAGCAATAGGAGTCTAACAACATTGCTGGTGGCCACCAACCTCTAGTGTACTGCATTCTCAACTTTGTATTGATGCATCAGAAGCCTTCCTCATGACCATGTGTCTACCAACATGTGTTCTGTATAAGCCAGTTAGCTCCTCTTTACTCAGACTGATTTCACCTAGATTGTCACAGTTTCCTTCATGTTAACTTTGCGTAACTTTGTTTTTCCTGTACTACTACGTATGTAAGATATATATACATATATACGTACATATGCTGTCCAAATATATGTATATATTTATATAGCATTTTTACACCTTTACTGAGTAATCTGGTTTCAAAAGGGAGTAGTTGAGTCCCTTCTACAGTTTTCTCCAAGCTGTGTCCTGGCTATTCTGACCCTTCAAGCCTGAGAACCTCAAAAAGATGATGTTAATTTGCTGTCATTTCTTAATTCAGGATCTATTATCAAACAAAACATGAAAAAAACGGTGACTTTTAAGGTGAAAACGAGTTTCAAGCATTCCAAATGAATTCTCAATGTTTCATAACTTCCTAGCAGGAAGCCAAGTACTATTTGATACAGTGGTTAAAAAACCAAACTCCCTTGACATTTTTTAAAAAACATCTTATGGATAATGCTCATTTTCACAATCAGAATAGCTTTAAAATATGGCTAAATTTGATATACACCAAAAATGTTTTATTCAGGACAAATCCTTTTTTTTTTCCTTTTCATTTTCCTTGAGAGAGCTAAAGAGAAATTGTAGCTTGTTTTCCTGACAGCAAAAGAGTAATGTGACAAAAATGAAGTTGTTGTAATGAAGTGATACAACTTGTCAATTATTTAATAAAGAATTATGGAAGCTGGAACATTTTCTACATCAACTATTATGTGTCGTCTGATTTATAGTCTGTTCGTGAATGCATCATCTTAATTGTCTCAGAAGGATTTAAATGCCTGCAGATTCCCAGTATGTTCATTTTCTTCATCTTCCTAGTTTTCCATACCCTAAAAACATCATTGAAGTCTGCCCAAAACACATGGCTTAGGCTTAATAGGAGGATGCACATTTATTCTTACGTATCTGCTATTTTATCTTTTTATTAAACTTGATAATTAATGTGTTTGTATAACATTTGCATAATCCATGTTAGTCTATTCCTAGAAAGGCATATTTTGCCTCTAGTTTTTATCCAGCCCACCCTCATCTTGTGTGAAAGTTAATGAGACCTAATGGCATCCCTGGGTGGTGCAGATGGTTAACACACTCAGCTGCTAATCAAAAGCTTGGAGGTTTAAGTCCACACAGGTGCCTCGGAAGAAAGGCCTGGTGATCTACTTCTGAAAAATCAGCCATTGCAAACCCTATGGAGCACAGTTCTACTCTGACACACATGGGTTTGCCATAAGTCAGAGTCAACTCAACGGCGACTGGTTAATAAAGCTTAAGGTGGTTCTCAGAAGAAAGATGATATCACAATCCAGATTGTAGACCAATTCCCTGTTAAATCTCACTGGCATTGTTCCTCGTATCTAGTACTAGGCTCGACAAGGAAAGGCTGGGCTCCTCCTCAGTCAATTCCGTAATTGTTGTGATTAAAGTTTGATGAGCCCCAAACACGTTCCAATGCAGAATCTTCTACCTTTAGCTTTGACATTCAGTCTGGATGAGGCCAAGCTGAAAACTGTTAACTTCTAATTCCAGGAACTGAATTTAAAATTCCCATAAAAGGGTATTGGAAATTGCCCAAATGTGTAATTTTCCTTTAACCACAGAAGTGCATCCCTAAATAATGTTCACCATCCCCCTGTTCATTTTGGTGGTTTGCCTGCTTGAGTTCTGCACACCCAAACTTATTTGTCTGCAAGTAAGCCATTCAGGGAGAGAAAATATATATTCGGTTGTGGTGAGGTGAGTAGAAAAGCTTTGGGTGAAAGCATGGACTCTTCCCCACCACCACCACTATGCCCCCTAAAAGCCCCCCTCTGCCCTGTGAGGAAGTACAGGGTGGGACTGTGGAGGCTGGGTGCCCTAACTTACCCCTGCCCCATATATCTGGCCAGCTGGTGGGCAGCAGAAGTGCTCCTCAGGACAGCAGGCCTGAGCTAAGGGCAGGTGGCAGAACTCAGCCCAGCCTGGGCTGCAGGAGGTGGGACAGAGACAACCAACCTTGCCTCACAGCCTCCATCACTCCTGCCAGAGACACCTGGGAGACAGGGCCCTCAGGGTCAGATTCTTCTTCCTCACATTTAAGGCAGAAACCCAGAGGGCAACCAACCTCCAAGACCACCTGCCAGACCCAGCCTTTGGGAGAGGAGACCGTGTCCTCACACAGTGAAAAATGACAGCAAAGCACCACAGGATGCCTATGGCCAGAGGCTGTTCAAGACGTGATCTCTAAAAGCCCAAGAGAAGAACCTGGGGAGAAATTCCATCCAAAAGAAAAAATACATGATTTAGCCAAGTCAGGGAGGGAAATAATTGAATAAATCAACCAACAGGAGCCTTCAGGGGAATCCTGTAAAATGGGCAAACCTCTTTCATCTCTCAACAAAGCCTAATTAATATTCATGCCATTTTCTTCCTCAGGACTAAAGACAGCTTTGAGTCCTGAAACACATTTACTGTTTCTTCAATATTGTGTTATGAAAATTCGCAAACATCCAGAACAGTTAAAAGAACTGTACAGTGAACACCCATATACCCACTGCCCAGATTCTACTGTTAATCTTTTACTGTACTCGCCTTATCACATACAGGTTCCCCCTGCTATCCGAAAGTACAGCGTTCCTATGAAATCTTTCATAAGTCAAAATGGCGTAAAGCGAAGACGCAATTACCATTAATTTATATGGGAAAAATTTTTGAGCGTTCCCAGATCCAAAAAATAACCTACCAAATAACACATAAAATCCTTACGAGCTCTCTTAGACTTCTCTAATAACCTTAGGACACATCTTGCTAACGGGTGCACAAAATGAGATAATGACAGACAGTTCAAAGCTGCGGCACCTTGATACTGAGATCCCGGGCAAGCAGCTGGGCGATGCTCAGGTGAGTCCTCCCTCTTCAATGGCATGCTGAACGCTACTTCAGCTTTTCACCTTTTGTCGTAAAAGCGAAAATCCTTCAGATTTCTTTCAGTTCGCAAAAACAGGTACTACTAACGTAGGTCTTTCGTTAAAGCGAAGTTGCATAAAGCAAACTTTCAAAAAGCGGGGGATACCTGTATCTGGCTATCCACCCTTTAATCCATCTTATGTTATTGAAGCACTGCAAAGTAAATTGCAGACATGAGTACATTCCCTCCGCCCCAAATACTTAAGCACACGTATCATTAACTAGATTTTAATAAGTTTTTTATTGTGGGGTGAAATTCACACAGAATGAAATGCACAAATCTAAAGTGTATATTCACTGAGTTTTGACAAATGCATACACCAGTGTAATCCAAATTCTCATCACCCCAGAAAGTTACTTTAGTCCCTTCCCAGTCAGTCCTCACCCCCTTGTCCCCACAGCAGCCACTGTTCTGATTTTTCCCACCATAGATTAGTTTTGTCTGTTCTAGAATTTCATATACAGTGAAACCTGTGAGAGCCAGAACTCAACAAGACTGCTTTTTTTTTCCTCAGGCCTCACAAGTTTTCCGCCTTTGACAGGGTACAGTCACCACTTTTCTATTCTCTATTTATAGAGAAAATATTTGAGTTTTCCTTCTCTGACAGGTTTCCGCCTTATACGTCTTCCGGATTTCGCAAGTTTTACTGTAAATAGAGTCATGAAATATATTACAATGACTTTTCTCTGATATTGACCCTGCCCTGAAGCAGTAAGTCAGTGGGTGGGAAGCCACAAGGCATCATGAATGAAAAAGACATCAGTTTAATATCCAAATACAGTAAAACCTGCAAAAGCCAGAACCTATGTAAGGCAGAAACCTGTCAGAGAAGGAAAACGCACTAAAACGAGGTAGGATTCTTAAAAGAGAGTGATAGAAAAGTGGTAAGACTGCACCCTGTCAAAGGCAGAAAACTTGTGAGACCCAGAAAAAAAAGCAGTCCCGTCGAGTTCTAGCTCTCACAGGTTTCACTGTAGTATCCCCATTTCACATGTTGCATGAAAATCTCCACTCTCCAAATATACACATTGACCATGTAGGTGGTTTGAGCCTGTCATTTACACTGAGTGATCATCTTCTGAATTCAATTTGCTGGGCGGGTTACCGGTGCCTTGAGCCTGCAGAAAAGTGTGATCTGAGTTGCTTTCCAGTTCCCTGAACCCTGTCCAGCTCCTCCTGCCTCACCGTTTTCTTTGTGAATGCATCCTGAAGAGAGATGAAGGCAAGAGTTTATTAGTCTGGGCAGGTTTATGCTGTAACCAACAACTCCCAAATCACAGTGGCTTAATACAACAAAGGCTTGCTTCTCACAGCCCTGTGTAAGTTCAAGGGGATGCTCTGTTCCATGCAGTCATTCAGGGACTCAGGCTCCCTCCCTTAATGGCTCCACAATCCCCTGGGATAGGGTCTTCTGCAAACCACTGGCAGAAAGGGGAAGAGAAACCTGTGGGAGACTGTGGTAAAATCATGGCTGCCACATTCCCATGGCCATGCCTAGCTGAAAAGAAGTCTGGGAAATACCTAGTGGCATCCAAGGGAACAGAGAAGGAGTTTGGAACAGCTAGCCAGACTGACATAAACAATTTATCTGCAGCTTTCAGTATCCCATTACAGAGTGAATTTCTTCCTGGA